AGGGGTTTCTGATACCCCTTAACTATTTGCAGAAAGAAGGTCATACATAGTTCTTGAATGATAGTTGCATCAACGAGACATTTTATTATAGATTTTAAATGTTTAGTAATCAAAGCCCATCTCTTTCAAATCCTAAAGCAATTACAGCTCTTTTATAATAGATTACATTCAGCAATAACATTTTACAATCTATTAGGTTAATTTAGGAGCAGGTAACAATAAATATTAGCATTGCCTTTGCCCGGATTCGAAATCAGGATCTCTCGATTTGTAGCCGGACGTGCTTCCAATTACACCAATAGGGTACGTGGTAATAAGGATGTGTTGTTAGCTACGATACCTTTTCATTTCGTCGCGAAGCGATAGTCGATAAGTAAAACATGTTTGCGAAAATAGATAAGTGACCTTGATGCAAACATAGATTTTTATTTACATAAACTAACACACAGCGTTCAACAATATTGTGACGTACGTGCGAATTCGTTATGGATTGAATGCGCAAGTAATCAATGATAGCTTGATGAAATTTATTTTTGGAAACGGAACACTTTGGAACTTTTCACAAAAGCACTCCTACAGCTTTCATGAGTATTACATAGCAAAATCAGCAGTTACCACTTCAAACCGAGAGCATTTAGCAAAAGGCAATACAAAAATCCTCAAATGCGTAACCTTGCAGAGTGGATCTGTCAGTACTCTGAGTTAAACTCTGAACTAAGGCGATGACAATTATTTGTAAGTGTAAATAATCATTGTCTATCTTAGTTGCAAATCATTTCAAAATACGAACATACTACTAAGCTTATCGAACGTCATTCAGTAATAATAGAAGTTTTCGTTCTATACATAATATGCTATAAACACTATATACATGAAATTTTATTTCAGTCGCAACGGGCCGTTTATATCTTCTAATAATTTCAAACGCACGTATCCATGGGTTGATGACGCTGCATTTAAGCGAACCATACTATCGTGCTTATATCCTCCTGGCTTCAAACGATTGTTAGATCAGTTGAACATTGAATATCTTTTGCATTTAACAAACATATATTTTTCGGTAAAGTTAATAGATTAAACAGAAAATTGATATTTGCTGTATTCTAACTTTGCCTGTACAATAATTTCTGTATAAATGCGATATTTAATCAGAGTTAATAACATTGAATTGGGTATACTGAAAAGCTAATTTAAATTAAAAGATATTGTTTACATTTCTGAGCAAAATACAGTTTACCTTTATTAACAGCAACAAAATGTCCAAATAATTTTCTTCGTAAATTTCTTATTCATTGTTTTAATTTAGAGATATAAAATGTTATATTTTTCGCCATTTTTAAATTTTTCTCTGACAGCTGGGAATGTTTATTAAACTAAACTGATTTAATTATTTTTCATATTTTATGTATAATTCTCTTATTCGGATTATCACTTGAGCGAAACTGATTTTCAAATTAATTTATTTTATGAAAAATAATGTAGTAGTGTTAATTTTATGTTGCAAACGTACTTTTAACTTACCTTATTGCATCATTGATTTCTTTTATATTTCTTAAAATCGAAATGTAGGAATTAAAAATAATAAAATAAAAGTTAAAAAATTTGAAAATAATTTTGAATATAATTATTTGGTAATTGCTGATAGGTAATCTAAAGATGTTTTTAAAATGGGGTAGGCGAATGAATTCATTAAAGAATATGTATGTACCCAAATGGAAACAAACCAAATAAAGAAACAAACAAACTTCTGTCTTCCATAAAAGTAATATTTCCCTCCACCCTGGACGATAATGAATGAAATGGCTTTCTGACTGTAATTGAATTTCGCGAGTAAATTATTATATATTACAGGAAGCCTGTAGAGTATATTATGTTAATTAACCAGTTATTAAGATTTAAACCTTTACTATAACTTCTCCTTCTCGTAGCCCTCACCAAGATGCAAATTAGATTGAAAAGTATTTATATTGAAAAGTATTTAGATGTATTGTGGTTTTAGATATTAAGCTGTTGGCAATGACACCTGCAGTTTACGTTCAGTCGCCCAGCTCTGCCAGTGAATATTAGGGCTTGAGCAATTTTGCTAGCCGACGTTAGTACGCGTCATTTAACGTACTGAGCCAGCTTAAGTTGTCCATTTGTGTACTCTCTGACGATCACATTTTAAAACTGAAATTTCAACTTTGTTATTTTAAATACCCGAAAGTGGCGGAGTTTATTTCTACGCACAAGTTGTGCTTTCTGGCTATTTAAAAAGTTAATTAAATGTTTTTTTTAAATCTTCGTAGGACTTTATCATAATAATATCAAGCGATAGTCCGTTTGTCAGTCCAATAGGATCTGTAGGACATTGAGTTAGTTCTATACCGTTAGGACTCTATGGACCTAACTCATGATTCTACATTTTAACTGTGCTGCTAATTTATTTAAGGGGACTCATACACCTTAAACCCCTCATGATCTTCGAATATGTGACTGTTGCAAGAATTGGGATATTTTATTTATTTTAAAAGCAATTACTTCCAACTTTTTCCAGCTGACTACATAATATAGCTACTTTAGAAACTAGTAACCAGATAATTTGTGTTGCCACAAATATTTTTGTAATTTCATCCTTTTTGTGACAAAATATTTCGCCATGTTTCCACCTTGCGCGCATGATATTTTAAAAATGGCTAATGGTACATACCTAAAATTTGATGGAATTCTTTATATGGGCACTATTTTCTAACTGAACCAACAATCTGATGAGTATTTTAATACTGAAAAATGTTATGGACGAAAACATTACAGATTTTTTTAATAAAATACATTTTATAAACTCAACTCAAAATAAAATAAAAAATTAACATGAAATTTTTATAATTTTAGGTCACATATTCCAAATGTTTAAAAGCTATATATTAAATATGGAATAAATTACGTGAATGTTTTTGCGCGCAAGTTGAACATCGATGTTGTCATAAAGCGTTAAATAATAAAAATTTTCCAACTTTGATTTTCGCACTATTAGCAGGTGACAGGTGACGGAGGACGGGGACGCCTGATGTTTAACAGAGGTAAACAGGCATATGTCCCGCGCCCTCCCCTATCTAGTGGCAGCAACTCCCAGGAGCCTCATGAGGCCACCTTGGGAGTTTATTGAAGAATTTTACGTAATTGTACATGGCCATACAGAGGCGTCTTAGGAATACATTAGTTTTGATCGATAGGCGGATGATTTGTTACATCTTGGTTTTTAGACACTGTTAGACACTAATTACAGCATATACATACACATACAAGTACATACAATTGCACATATAAAGATACATACAAAACACTTGTAAAACACATATAAAAGCACATATATAACACATATAAAACATGTAAGCACATTATATAAAAATAGAAATTAGATACTAGTTTGCACACACTTATACAAGTAAAACACATACTTATAATGAAACATATTTAAGCTAATATATAGTATACACTTACACTAAAGACACATTTAGATCATTTAGACACATTTAGATCACATATCACATGTAAAATGCGCAAATAAACATACATAAAGCATGCAGGCACACTGTAGAATATTAAATTTTGTTATTAGATGATATAGTAATTACAGATGAAACTTTACTCTGGAGAATACATTATGCAATACATTATATCAGGTACACAATACTTATTTAATTTGAATAGATATGCAGCGCTTTTTATATACATAATGCTTACAGAATTGATACACAATGTAAAAACAGATACACTATGCTTGTAAAGCATTAGATATTAGAATTTATACTGCGCACAATTGTACAAACGAAATAAGACACTATACTACTATATACAACACAGTTATGGTGTACAATTATGCAAACACAATTATACTAACGTATTAAAACGCAGAATAAAACACTATACTACGGTATATAACACAATTGTGCACAATTATATAAACACAATTATACTTACACATTAAAAAAAATCTATACTATTGTATACACACAATTATAGTACGCAGCACCATGCATGCTATGTTGCCAAGCTATATATTTCTATGCGAAGCTATGAGATTATACAGGTAATGCAGATACAATATTGATAGATATAGATGAATTATACATTATGCATATGTCAGATACAGTGCAGATATAATACAGATAGTTTGAGTAATACAGATATGATGTGCAGGCAATAACTGTAGTGGAGACACTATGTTATAGAATGCGCTGAGCTTATTTTATATTATATTAGATGCACAGTGTTTATTGGATTAAAGTAGGTACACAGTACTTTTTATATACACATTGCTCACAGAACAAATGCACAGTGCAAAGTCAGATACACAACAGGTTGTAAGGTATTGCAGGTAATGCACACGCAATGTAGATAGTTGCATAGTAATTATATGCTTTATATACAGCAGATACTGTGCAGAATTTGACAAATTCAGTGCAGAATGAGGTGCATATTTATTGCAGATAGTTTGTATAACGCGTTTGTGTAATACAGTACTGGCAATGACTGTAGGAGAAACACTATGTTGTAGAATACACAGTGCATATTAGTATTGTAATAGATACATGATGCTTGTTATATACACAATGCAAAGTCGGATACACATTTGTTTTACACTGTTCAGTTAAGCATGGACTAGCATGGACATGCAAGTAGTAACCTGTGATTAGTCAGTGTTGAGCTCTGTACACTGTTGATAAGTTCTGTACACGATTTGTCAGGGCGTTCCAATTACTCTGCGCACAGTACCTTATACACTGATATATAACTTGCAGTTGTTGTAATAACTGTGGTTATTCCAGGAAATACTTCTATAGATATTTCAGTCGTTGTAACTACTACAGAGACACAATGCAGGTAGCAGTCTGTTCATAGTCAGTAGTTTGCTCTATACGCCGTAAGTGAGTACTGTACGCAGTAAGCAGCTATGTCTGCAGTTATGTTGCAGTGCAGTTATGTTATAAGCGCAGCACATAATTTAAACATATTGTAAGTTGCATTCAGCTGATTGTCAGTATAAGAGACTGTCAGAATTCTGTTGATGATTTGGTAGTGAAAGCTGACTGTGGTTGCTTTATGAGACGCCTTAATTGACGCTAGTTTGGTTGGCAGATATCTTGCCCTAGGTCGTTGACCTGCCTAATTATTTGGCAGATCTTTTTGACCGCTGGTGGGTGCTTAATGATGAATCGTTTATATGATTCTATATTTGTGGCTGGGAGTGGTAGGTGTAAGTTGGATGTAAGGCTGCATTCAAATATGTAGTGGTCGGGGGAGCCAGTTGCCCCGCAGACGCATATATCTGTCATCGAAATTGCATGTCTTTGAAAATAGGATGGAAATGGGCCGTGCCCCGTGATATAGTATGTCAAGGGTGCAATGGCCTGGAGACGTTCGTTGTCTACTATTGGGTAGAATCCATGTGTCCTTCTTCCTGTATCACAGTTATCCCACTCCTGTTGCCACTGTTCTTTGCTTAGTTCTCTTAGCTTTCGCTTTAAATACGAAGTCGGGATTGGAGTTGTCACCTCTTGCGCGTCGTTGTTGAGTGCCGCCTCGTTTGCTAACTGGTCTGCCATCTCGTTACCCTCTATGCCATCATCATGTCCTTTCACCCAGATTAGTTTGATGTGTGTTTGCATATTGTTACGCAGGAGCTGTTGGATTGCTATAATTGTGGGTGAGGTATGGTGGTGATTCATGATTGCCTGTAGCACTGACATGCTGTCTGTGTGAATTTCGGTTGCTGCTAGATTGATATCCTGAGCATACTGAATTGCAGCTGCTATTGCCACAGCTTCTGCCTGGAAAATGCTGTTGTGGGTAGCGAGATGGCCTTTCCATTTGCTTTCCACTCGGTCATTTTTGAAGTGAACGAAGGCGCATCCCACTCCATTGTCATGCTTTGATCCATCGGTGTAGAATCGTGAGTTCACATGTGGAGTTTCTCTGAGAGGCGTTGGGTGTTGTGCTGTCACGACATGGATGCCTTTACTTTTGTGTGCCGGGTGCACATACTGCACACTCCCTGGTAATTCATACTGTGTTGCATGGAAGGCGGTGCCAGCAAAGTTGGCATCTTGTTTTAGCCTAATTAGGCGCTCATATGCAGCTTCTATGCTGGCCTTTATGTGCAGGGGTGTTAGTCCCGCAAGGACCGTTATTGCACTTGATGCCGTTGTCCTATATGCCCTACTTATGTTTAGAGCAAATGGCCGTTGTATTGTTGTCAAGAGTTTGATCTTGCGACTGCTCATTGGTTGCGCCCATATAGCCGATGCGTAAAGAACAATTCTCTCCGCTACCGTTAGATATAGCAGTTTCTGGATGTGAGGGTTTTGCCCCCAGTTGCTTCCCTGGAATTGTCTGGCTTTCTTAGCTATATTTGCTGTCTTGACTCTGATGTCTTGAAGGTGGGGCAGCCATGTGAGACCCTGATCCCATGTAAGTCCGAGATACTTTATGGTTTTTGAGATCTTTAGATTTCGTCCCATCAATTTTATACACGGCCGTCGCGTTGGATTAGTTCTCGGTCGTGGGATGACTACTGCCGTTGACTTCTGTGCGGAAATGATCAATTTAAGTCTACTGCATTTATCTGAAAATATGGAACAGGTTTCCGTACCATTTCGTTCGAGTTCTTCTCTTGTGCGGCCAGAGACTAGCAATGCCGCATCATCTGCATATGCTATCACTCTGGTATGGGTAGGCCATTTGATTTGTAATAAGGAATTAAACGTGATTATCCACAGTAGAGGCCCGGCACATGAGCCCTGTGGGCACCCTCTTTCCTGCTGTTTAGTGACGACACCGTTATTATTGACTATAATTAGACTTCTAGAGTGGAGATAGTCAGTGAAGATATTAAAAAGGTTCCTTGGACACTTTGCCTCCCTGAGGGCCTGCTTTATTGCAGGCCACCAGAGAGTATCAAAGGCACTTTGAAGATCTAAAGAGATAAATGCAGTATGTAGATTGTTGATTCTGTTGTCATTTATATGTTTTCGAATGTGTTCTAGAGCATGGATGGTAGATGTGCCTGTCCTGAATCCATATTGATGTGGGCTAAGAAAGTTTTGTCGGTATAGATGGTGCTTCAGCCTGTTGACTAGCAGTTTTTCGTAGATCTTACCCAATGCAGATAACAGACATATGGGTCTAAAGGATCTTGGATCTTCCGGGGATTTATGCTTTTTTAAAAACAGGACGACCTGTCCTTGTTTGAATGCAGTAGGGAAGATTTGACAATGTAGAAGCTTGTTAAACAGAACTTTAAAGTAAGTGGGTCGAGCGTTGAAGGCGACCTTGATTATTGCATAATCCAGGCCGTCAGGACCTGGTGCCTTTTTGACTGGAAGCTGTCGAAAGATTTGCTTGATCTCTTCCATTTCAAATGGTTCGTCGTCTGAAGTCTCTGGGATAGTGGTGTTTCCCCTTGTGTGCCTTTGCTCTGGCGTGTCATCGTCCGGATCGTCTGCTGGGAAGACTGTGTTTAAGGTTGTGGCTGCCGTGGATTCTGCTATGTTGGTGGTAATGGGTTGGTTGGCAATTTGGGCATAGAGTTGATCCGGCTTAAAGACCTTGTTGGTGGCAAGCTTGTGTAGAATTCCATATGGGTTGTTATTTTCTGTGCAGAACTTACGCCAGCTGGTTATTTTGGCTTTAAGGATATTATTTTTTATAATGCGCTCTTTCCTCCCTAAAGGTTGCTAGTATTGCATTCTTGGTGGTTTCGTTAATGTTGGTGCGAAGGCGACGTCGTAAAGCCCTGCACTTTTGCCGTTGCTGTCGCAGTTCCTTTGTCCACCAGGAAATTCCTTGCAAACATTTTGCTGCTCTGGTGGGCAGGTGCTGATCGCAAATGCTCCGTAGAGTGTCAAGCAGCCGCTCGGTATAAGTGTTCAGATCATTGGGGCTCTTGTATTGACTTAGCTCCTGCTCTTCTTGCTGTAATGTTAGAGAGAAAGCTTTGTTAAGTATTCGCAATTTGTTACCCGGAAGTTTGTATCTTTTAAAGATGCTGATCCTTGTGTCGCTTGCAATATTGAAGTGTATGTAGCGATGGTCCGAGCAGCTCTCTTCATCTGCTACCATCCAGTCTTGTAGGTTATTGGCTATATCATTAGTAGTCACTGTAATATCTGGCCATCCGTGGTGGTACGTGTTGTCAAATGTGGGTGGCGCGTTGGGGGTGTTTATGATTTGCAGATTGCTGGCCAATATGTAGTCTTCCAAGACTTGCCCTTTTGGAGTGGTAGCTGGGTAACCCCATATGATGTTGTGGGCATTAAAATCACCGCCTATAACATGTGATGTTGTGGGGCACTTTGTCTTTACTTCTTCGATGCTCATGATGGTCTGGTGGATATCATCCGGTGGGGGACTGTAGATGGAGGAAATGATGATCTGTGAATTTGAGAAGCTGAGGAGGATTGCTACATGGTCTCGCTTCTGTGTAATTATCAGCGGGGACCAGAGCGGGTTGCAGCAGGCGATTGCTGCTCTTGGTGGTGGCTCATTCTGTTGTGCTTTGCGCTGAAATATTTTCCAACAGAGTGGCAAACAGGCGACTTCCCCTGCTCTGCAGTAAGGTTCTTGAATCAATAGTATATCTGGTTGATGGTTGATTGTATGTTGGATCAATTGTGACGCGGCGGCTTTTGCTCTTTGTAAATTAATCTGGATGCATTTGATAACTTCTCGTTGGATGTCTGGTGTTTGCATTATTTGAGTGGGCGGCTGTGGCAAATCACTCGTATCTGGTACTGCGTCTGATATTAGCGATGTATCTTCCGTACGAGGGGCAGTTGACATCATAGGCTGGATGATCGCAGGGGATGCTCCTGTTTGTCCTATAGTTATAGTCTGCGCAGTTGATACACGCGGGCTGCTGCGCTCGGCATTCACGGATGTCGTGTTCTTCTGTGCAGTATGCACAATAATGTTTGTTGGAGCACTCCTTTTGAGTGTGGCCGAGTTCCTGGCATCTGTAGCATCGCTTGGTGTTATAGAAGTCTGCAATTCGGTATGCCCGCCAGCCGAGGTAGAGTCTGGGAGCCTGCATGATTCGCTGGTAGACTGTAGGTTGGCAGTCAAGAACCCATTTAACTGTGTTTCTTCTATCTCGGAGGCGGTAGAGGATCTTGACTGAGAGATCTTGACTGTTGATTTGGTAGCATTGTGCTCCGATGCCAAAGCTCGTTCTATTTCGTGTTCCTGGACTTCATGTGGGACGCTGTGGATAGCAACTCTTGGAAGTCTTGTGGCGGGAAGCTTGGTCTCTACCAGTTCTTGTCCCTTTGCACTGTTTAGCGTATTTTTTAGCTTGTCAAGGTCCTCCTTCGTGTGACAGTCAACGGCTAGCCCTCCTTTTTGTATGTTTCTGACTGTGGATACCTTTACTCCTATCTTGGGGAGTGGGAATTCCTGGCTGAGTTTAGCCTTAAGGTCTTGACTGGTGGAGCAGGTGGCTTCCTTAGGATATAGTAATAGTGTGTGCCGGGGCGTAGTTATGTGACTAGTATCTTTAGCCTTAGCTGCGGCAGCCGCGTAGGATGGACCTCTGATCGGATTAGGCAGTGGTGCTACAGCGAACACGTTATGCCTCTGCTGGTCTGTTTGATACTGGTTATTTGCATGTGCTAATTCGCAGCAGAAGAGAGTGGAGGTATTGGTACTTGTGTCGGCTTTTGTTGGTTTTGCTGTGTATTCGGGGCCTTCTAGGGCTAACTTCTGTAGAGCCTCTAGTGAGGTAAGAATACGTTCTCTGAGTTCTGTTCGGAGCAGAAATTTACCACCTCGGTAGGTAGTTGTTACTCTCTTGATTTCCTGGTAGAAGAGGTCCTACCTTTTCAGCATGAGCTATGTCTGAGTTTAAGATAGAGGTCGGGTCTAAGGCGCTAGACGACGTTGTTATATCTTCGTCAGTAGATAGAGTAGATTGTAGTACCATGATATAATGCAGACAATGACAGTTAATATGCAGAATTACAATAAAAAGCGTACAGTTACATAATCTAAGGCAATACAGTTAAATATAAGTGCGTGCAATGAAAGCGCTGCCAACAGTTAGCGTGCACGGGTACAAGGTGACA